GCACTTCAGACAAAGCAAGTGATAAAGACGTCTAACGACCAAAGGGAACGATGGAGTTGCGGTGGGACCATATACGTTCCAGCATCCTTGGCAGACCTTCAGGTTCCCACTTTATAGCGTCCTTTATATGTTCGAAGCGCGGAATATCCATATCAGATCTGATTTTGTCGTACGCCGGACAGTCGAGCAAAACGTGCTTCTTATCTTCAATATGGCTATCAGTGCCGCAGCAGGGGCATACCCGCTCCTCCCTAGGTATATAACGCCGCCCCTTGCGCGCGCCAACAGCAAAGCCTGAGCTGCATAAGCTTACAATTCGTTGAACGAGGGATAAACATTGTGATATGCGGGAGCACCCCCTTCCTGCCCGCTTTTGCTCAGCTGCCAGACCGACCAGGGGTGTGTAAAGGATGGGTATTTAGGTGTATTATGCAAGCAGTAGCAATCACTCCTTTCCGCGATGGGCTTTCTATCCCCTGTTGCCGCTGCTGCGGGTGTTCTCATTACATGAACGGCAATTGCTAATCAACCGGCCTGTATGTACTCAAGAGGGGCCCTGTCATTTCCTGGCTTTAAGGAAACCGACACTCTACTTGTTCGATGTGATGTCTGTTACTGTGCTTAGGGTGTGTTCACATGTAGTCCAATTGAGAGTCTGATTGGGAGTCCGATTCGGGGCGGCTTTCTGAATTGTGTTCACATACGATTCGCTGCACGGCGCGAGGTGCCACCGCGCCCAGCTGAAGCTCCGCGGCTACGCCCCATCACCCAAGGAAAGCCAGCATTATCTAGGAACAGAACAGTATAAGTATCGTTTCTATGGTGAAAATTATCACCAGGCTTGTACATACATAGCTGCAGGAGTTCGTAAAAAATGCTCGGTGCGCTTTGCGTGAATTAACAATTGGAAAATGTTCCTATAGTATTGTAATGGTAATTATGAGAAACGGTTTGTTAAACAACTTTGTTTTGAGAAAGAAAACTGTGAATCACGTCGAATCATACCCGAAGAGGCCCCCCCGGACACCAATTCAGATTCGGGTCCAATCAGGTCCAATTCAGAGTCCAATTCGCATGAATCAACCCTGATTCGCCCACATGTGAACACGTCCTTACGTTGTGCTGGAGCTTGTTGGCTTGACCGTTATAGCCCGCTAGTAGCTCAGTATTGGCATTGGCATTTACATCTTGAGACATAATGACCACACTGTCCAGCAGTAATTTGTCTCCCCCTCAATCACAATGGATATCCGTCAACGAGTGGGTTGCCTGGAAAAGAGGAATCCAACAAAACGCCTTCTGTTTTTTTTATTCGGATCAGCTTATCCTGGTTCCCCGTCATCAACGAACAATGCACACCTAGGTCGGGAGGCAGGCTAACCGCGCGCCTAGAGCTTCGATCCACAGACCCCCAAACAGCACTATTGGGCTTCACACCCATCATAACATTTGACATTATTGGCGGGATCGCCTGCGGATGGGCTTTAGGATGGGTGAATCGGAGGGCCTAGGTTTGCCTTGCCAATCGTCTATGTATGTCACTGTAGTGTAAGGTGGGCATGCCTGACTTATTATGAACCTACCCTGTTCGAAGCGGAGGGGTTACCTACGAATTGCGGTTGCAAGGGTCCGCAAAGGGCAATATACAGGCTATAAGTTTTGACAATGGCTTTCAATGTTCGGATATTAATTATATGCTTCTGGAAGAGTAAACTGCACTGTTTCATATGAATGCTCAGATGAGCTGGGCAGCCGCATTCGTAGCTGCTTATGCGTGTATGTTCGTGACAAATAGCGGATGTTTGAAACGTTTTGTCTGTACGCCCTTCGCATCTTTCCAGATGTTGACAAATTAAATTTGTAATCCACAAAGTTAATGCATGCCATGTCAGCCGCCGAATAGATATTCCCGCGTAGAAGCCGCCTGCATCCCTTCTGGGTACGCCCTTTAGAAGCTTATGGTATACTTGGCAGCATATATGTTCAGGTCTGTGCCGTTAACAAATCTTTCCTGCCGGTATTTAAAACGATTCCTAGCAACGGTTGGTGGTCGTGTTGTCGTAAGCTGGTAAGCTCATGTGAATCCTAATTCACCCAAGACCCTTTGGCGTCGTTAGATCTGGTGTTTTCCAAAGAAGCGCAACTGGAAAATTCTTATAAGCGTAATGTATCACAGCAAACTATTGTTTACTTGCCAAAGGTATTTTGTTGACATTGAGCTGACGTATTAAAATGGAGCTTTGACGTTGAAAAAGCAATCAAATGCGAACCTCATGGTGTCCATCTAGTAAGAAATTCGGAAATATCATGCCGTGTACTGTCCGTGGCACGTGAAGCGACCCGTGGAACATATAGTTGATCTTTTAGCATCCAAAGCCTATGGGCAGCCAATCAGGGTGAAACATAAGCCACCATCCCTGAAATTGTCACTATCACTGCCATTGGCAACGGTAATCACCTATTTGCGTTGTAGCATACGTTGCCGTGCGACTGCCGTATATCATACCATGCTTTTGTGGCTTTCATGGGCATATTGTAATGGAGAGCACTTGCAGGAGGAAGTGTTAACTGACATCGACGAGGAAAGCTAATTGTTGCCCTGTGCTTTCCTCTTATTGTCTCACGTGTTACGCACGCCGAGGCGTTTCCTGAAGTCCCGCATTTCCTTAATATATTACATAACTATGGCGGCAGCTGCAGCAGCCAGTAGCCTGTTCAGCGACAACAGCGACATTGTTCAGGCCCCAACAGTCTCAAGCTCTGTGCCTTCGATTTCTGAATGTTCCCACCGTGGTGGCTTAACTGGAATGTTTAAGGTTCCGTCGCTGGTCTTTGACATCGAGGTAAGAGGGAATCGCCAAAGGACACGTCGCGACGTGGCGTGTGACGTGGATGAGAAGTTGTGTAACCCTTTCTTCCCGTTATACGGGCAAGCGCATATGATACTTATTTCTCTTCTATTGGGGAAATGGTTTGATGCTGCATCATTATGAAGTTCTTATGAAACAGTATCATACATAGACATAATGTCTATGTGCTTGGCGGTAGTTCCTTCTATACAATTTACTTTTTGCCGGCATGGAATCGTCACGCTTGAACTGCAAATGTCGCGGATAGCTACTACTTAGTTCTTGGCGGGGTCCAGTCTAACATGCATGTCTGCTGCGGTGTCCGTTTTCCAGCTGGAGGACAATGGCATCGGAGCTCACTGGCAAGAAGAAGATTGGGAGGAGGATGAAGTCGTGACGGAGATTCAGAAATTTGTTCAACCGTCCACGCCAGCTGAGGCACGGGTGAGCGCCTCGCGGCGATTTGTCGTCCTCCCAGAATTTTTGTCCATTATCTTCCAAAGATCTCAATGTATTTCTCTTTCCTTTGACCGCGAACGTGCGCCATCTGCCGACAGCTACTCAGCGACGTCAGAGTTGCATGCGGCCACGCCAAGGACGGGCAAGACACAGCACGCCTCGTGTCAATTTTGTCGGCATTGGGTTACAATTGCAGCCTTCGGACTGCCCTAGGGGGCGGTGATGGGGCGGACTGCCTTCGAAACCTGCGCCACACCTTCATTATCTGCGACACGCCCGGCGGTGAGTGAAGAAGCTCGAGTGACACTCACCATGACGATTAAACATGTACTGCTATTGTCGGACATGTACGCATTTTTACCGCCATGAGGTTCTTACCGTTTTGTTGTACGGGTTGATATACGGCAGTCGTACAAGGTCGAGAGTTGTAGGTATAGATGCGGTGCCTTAAGAGCAATAAAATGTGGTGACGGAGCGGTAATTTGATCCCCGAATTCTTCAGGCGCACTGTTTGCGACGGCCCTCGTCCAGCTTGAGGTGGCAGCCTCATGAGTCACGGTGAACCCGACCGCCAGTCGGGCGCCTGGCTAGGCCGTACGGCCGGAAGCAAGGGTCGAGTATTTCACGGTTGGCGGGATTCCCACACGAGCCCTGGTGTTTGTGTCGTCCCCCCCTGCCTGCCTTCTCTCTCGTTGCTCTCTTGCCTGCAAGTGCGCTTACCACAACAACTTCTTTGTCACCTCTGTCACCTCTCTGTCGCAGTCAGCGGCGGACCCCCTCGCCGCCACATCATCGACCCCCAGTTCAAGGAGCAATTCATCATCGCCAAGACCACAGCGCGGTACGCGGCCATCCTGGCGGCTGTCCCGCCCGTGTTTGTGGGTCCGGAGGAGCACCTGCCGCTGCTGGTGAACTTCCTATGTAACGAAATGAGCGCCGCGTTCCGACAGCTGGGGTCGGTGTTGCCGCCTTGGCGCCACGCCAGCAGTATGTTGTCGAAATGGAGGCCTAGGAAGTCCGTCGACGAGGCGGGGATTGCGGCGGCGGCGGCGGCGGCTGGATCGCACTCCCGGCGCTGCGTCGGTGCCGAGGTCGGTGGCAGCGGCGGCGGCGGCGGTGGTGGTGGTGGTGTTGCTATCCCGTCCTATGGTGAGGGTGGTCTTCACGGCTCGGCTGTAGCGCAGAGCCCGGCCCTTGGATTGCTACAGCCCCACTGGCCGCTACCTTGCAAACCGGGAGTCCAGCAGCCGCAGTCGCAGCAGCCTCTGCACCACTGGCAACAGGCAGCAAGAGCGCAGCTGGATGGTTCCCAGCACCAGCGGCAGCGGTCCGGGGGCCCAGGGCGCCCCAGCTACGAGCCACAACGTGTGGTGTTCGGAGGCAATTTCGTGCCCATTGTGCCCTCTACGGCACTGGCCTCCTAGGCCCGTGCGACCCCTCCTGATCGCCAGCAGCGCCTCTGCCCAATAAATGCTGTGAAGCCCGTCTTGAGCTGAGTTGAGTTGAGTTGAGTTGAGCCAGTGACTGGGTGGCGGCGAAGGGAGACCACTGCTGTGGCCGGATCCAACTGCCGAGATCACTGCATTCCGCTTGGACCACCTCCCGCGGCGTCGACTGGCCGTCCCTCTGCGGCCCCGAAGGTCGCCCGGGTGCGCTGCTGTAGCGCTGTTGTGGTGGCGGCGTTCCTTCTCAGCCGTCCAGTCGCAAAGAGCAACTATGCGTCATGAGGAGAGAGAGAGACAAAGAGAAAGAGAGGGAGTGATGCAAGCGAGGGCGGGAGCGAGGGCGGTGCATTTCGGGTTTAAAGTTTGAAGGATGCCAAGGCTTTTGGTGTTTGATTCATGGTCCTGTCCGGTCAGATCGGGTTGCCCATTTCTTTTTCCCCCGCACCGCGTTGTGGGGAGGATCTCAGATCGGGTCTCTTAAGGATGTGTTCCATCGGTATCCCGACTGGTTCTGTGTTAGGGTGGTGGTGGTGAGGTGATATGCGGGAATCCAATTAAGCTTAAGGAAGCAATGCGTGGAGGACGAGATGGAGATTCTGGCGGCGACGTTTTGTTGCGAAGCGGAAGAGCAAACTGAAGGGCGGAGGCCCCGGGGGCCGTTGCGAGATGATTCATCATCGCGACGGTGTTGTGTGTTCATGTGCGGGCTGTGCCCTGCGGCATTTTTGGCGAACTGCGTAAAATTGAGATGGGCTGCCAATCCTCTCTCTCTCCCACTATCATGGAACAATGAATCAATGAATGCATGTTTGGACTTCCTATCTTTGGGGACGCGGGGGCGAATGTTATGCTGCACGTTAATCTGAGGGATTGCGCTACGGCGGTATTTAAGGGGTCATGCCTGAAAAGTTAGCTTTGTCTGTCCATTCCTAGGACATTCCGTTGGGCGTGTACGGAAATTACAGCCCAATCCGGGATGTACGACGCAATCCGGGAAGTTTATTGGGCCGTACGGGATGATACCTGGGAGGGCAATGAATTGATCGGAGACATCATCATGAGGTGAACCAAGAGTTGCCGATGATTGAGCTTCAGAGTGTTTGCCGGATTGGCGAAATTGAATTCCGGACTTTTTTATGGCGCGGTCCTGATGCGGTGTGACCTGGGCTGTTGCGCTGCCAAGGATCCCATCGGCACACTGCTGACGTGTCCATCTGGTACCGGTATGGACGCGGTGTTTTCTAGTAGTGTTTGAAGAAACGATTTGCTGCGCCTCCTGTTCGGGGGTGTTTGTGGTTCTGTGATGGCGTGGGTTGGACGCTGCCGGATTGTGGGAGCCCTTATCCCTCGGACAGGGGGGTTATTTTCGGCCCCTTCTTCTGGCGGTCCCGTCCGTACGTCGTCATCGTCGTCGTCGTCGTCCTCATATCGCGTTGCGGCGTTGCGGAATGTGCTTTGCCTTTATGATGGAAAGAACCGGACGACGGTGCTGTCTGATGCAGCCGGGAGCAGGTGCATCCATTTTCCAAGTCCAGATTTGATGTCCTGTTTGTTTGTTGGTGTTGATGTTCAGCGATTGTATCGGACCGAGCCGAGTTTCGGCACTCCTGGTTGTCCACGAGTGTGTGTGGCAGTGGTGGGGTCGGCGATCTTGGATTTTCACATGGATCAGCGTTCCTAGCTCTTTTCCTTGCTGCTTTGCTTTCCGCGGAGCATCAGCGGTTTCTCGTTTTGTACGGTGTTGTGCCGCTATCGTGTAGCCTTCTGATTTTTCAAAGTTTTGTAGTTATGCAGTACAGTACGGCGGATGGATTCGAATGGGATGACAGCGTTCGTATCTAATCTGCGACGGTAGTTCCAAGATAACCTTTCCACTACCATCACCACCACTATACACGGCTCTTCCCCCTTCTGGCCAATGCCTCCCCACGTCGCTCAGGAAAGACAGGAAAATCATGTGTGTGGTTGCCGCCCCAGAGCCCTTTCGTCTACTCAATTTATGATCTGGCAGGCTGCTGCTGGACACCGAATGGTGGTGTCGTACCTACGGTTTCTGTGGGAGACGCAAGTGTTTTTAACGCCGTGTTGGCCGTAACCGCATGAATAGAGGTTATCAGTACATACATGCATCCTGAGAAGGAGGTAGGTGAGGTGTGAAGCTGGATTAACATGATGTGGAGGTTGGATGCGCGCGACCTGTTTTGTGGTCTTCGTGGGTGGGGTGTTCCGCTGGGCCCCTTCTATTCTACAGTGTTGTTAAGTGACTGAGCCCGGTGGCCCTGTCGGCCCCGGCGGGGGAGGGCCCCGTCTGAGAGAGGGGGCGAGAGGGGGCCGTGGAGTGAGCTGAGCTGCCGGGCCCCCTGGGTGGGTGAGTGGCGGTGGCCCACTGGGTGCCCTGGGGCGGGGGTTCCTCTGCGCAAGGTGGAGCATGGACGAGAAACTTGTGGATGTGTTTGACGGATCGAGCTACGGACATAATTACAGTACAGTTTTTTTGTGCCGTATAGCGATAGATGACAGAAGAGGTGGCTTTGAATGGGCGTCAGGTATTTGTAAAAGTGTTGTACAGCGTACTTACGAGGACACCCAGCACATTATCGTATGACCACCTCGACTCCTGCTGCTGCAACTGCTGCTGCTCCCCACGCGTGAGAGGGCCACCACAGAGCTGGGAGGCTCACTAACCAGCCAGGTAAAACCCTAGGCAAATCTAATTGTGTCACTCCCGACCGCACCGCAATCCACATCCGCAGCAGCAAAACCCCCTTGTGTGCAAACATGCAGAGAGAGAAAAGGACATGTCTGGTGGCAGTTCACGAACGGGGCGTACGGCAGGCCTCCGTACAGGGCATGAGATGTTCGTAGACCTAGCAGCGGCAACAGAGAAGTCGAGTGATGAATGATCCTGATGGGCAAACATGTGTGGGGGGGCAGGAACTTGCAGAAGATCATATCCACAACCACTCCGGTCCGTCATGCAACCAAACATAAAAACTAACAAACAAGCCATGACAAGTCACTTGAGTCCTGGCTAAGATAACCTGGAAGGGTATTTTGTTCGGCATCAAGCGGGACGTATAACTTGGTGTGAGGAGAGTAGCTGAGTAAACCCAGGCTGTACTACGCATTACTGCATGTGGCTGATTTCAATTGCGCTATTACTGTATTGCACTATTCACGACAAACCTACGATTATGTGAAGTAGGGGCTTGCAGCTTCACCCGCGGCCACTAGTGCTATAACATTATAGCTTGGCAGTCCCCCTAGCACCTTCCCCCCGGTATATCGGGGCATCCTCATCCTCCTCATTACCACTTCTTGGAGGTTAGTGACATTTTCGGGTTCATCATCGACCAATAAAATCCGGTGAAATCTGGATCTGTAGTTACAGTCGACGTGTCAGCATCCATTGCATGGGGGTGCTTCCACCCTCTTATCGTCAAGAGAATTCTATTCCCGCTCTTTGTCAGGATCGATGAGGGAATCGTCCAGGGTGACAACGTCGCACCTTAATAGTTCCGCTGTGTCTTACATTACACATGACTTACGTATGAAGGATGTCATGGTAACGACTAAAAAGACACCTAAGGTTTGTCCACAGTATCTGGCTAATGAGGGTCGCTAATAGCGGGTAGAGGGTAACCCTACTCCAGGAGGTGTTGTAACACATACACACATACAGACGGTGGCCCCACATCTTATGGTTGGTGTAGGACGTGATAATATCAACTTGCGAGCTGACCAGGAACTAGGTTGAGGCGCCGTTGATCCGCTAGATTTGGTTGGATGCTGGTGGTGAGTTGCTGAACCCAACGAATACAATCTGAAGTCGGATGGGGTGAACGGATTAGGGTGCCCCTCTAGCAGGGGAGAGCAAGGAACTGTCTCGGGAAAGGGGGCCGCTGGTGAAGCTATACCACCCTGTAACAACATACATACACACAGATATCTCAAATCTTGCCAGAGCAGTACGGGTGAGAGTCGGGAGCTGCTGTGAGACAGACAACGAACGGAGAGGTGATCGGTTATTGCATTGTCGGATGGCAGATGGGCAATTTGACCCACTACCTCTACCTCGCAGCTAGCGACACACAGGTGCACAGGTGTTGTACACCGAACCACCCTGACACGCCCACAGTGCGGGATCCCAACAATATGCACCAATGCGCCTGTCGGGAAAGAAACTTAGGAAAATGCTCCTCCAAGGACGGCCAAACTTAAGACACCTGCGTACGATGCAGCTCATACAGCGCTCACGCGCTGACAGCTCTCCATGAAAGAAAGTTAAGAGGACACCCACACAACAATGCGCGCAAAGGTGACGCAGAAGCAGCGGCACCAGAGGACGACAACGACAACAACAGCAGGTGTCCATCCACCATAACAAGAGTCATGCAGCAGCAGTAGCAGTAGCAGCAGTTTTGTGCGATAACAAAAAAACAACGAAGGAAAACAACAAAAGGAGCACAACAACGCCACTGAGTACATCCACACTCAGTGCCAATACGGCATTTGCAAGCCAAGCCAATTCAGCCCCCAGCCTGGAGGAACCCCGGGCGAACAAACTCCGAACAGAGAGACCTCAAGCAGCAAAAAGCCACTTCAACCACAACGATCCCAAATCCAACCCCAGCCACAACCCCAACCACAACACACGCCAAGGACACATCTCCTCTTCTTCGCGAGAGCTCCACGCAGTGGCACTGAGGTACTGAGGTACTGAGGTGGTGAGGCGGTACCATCCTGAGCAGCAGGGAGGTCGCTGGGTGGTGCAGCGCACCGCCTTCTTCAAGTTGAGGCCACAACCCCTCAGAGGGCGATTCTGTCGCTCAGGGGGAGACGCCGGTGGAGCCGCAGGTGCTCCAACCTCCTCTACCAGACCCCCCCGGACCCCCCGGAGATACAGAAAACGTCCTTCTCAGCACTACTGCCAAAATAAAGCCGGCGGGGGGCGCGGACATCCCCCGCAAATGAAACGAGGCCGACCGCGACACCACCACCTGGTGCGGAACATGCACAATGTAAACACACAGCGCCCTTCGGGAATTCCCAGGGTTCCCACCTGGGGGCCATGTGGTCCATGGTTGAATTTGCACACACACACACACACACACACACACACACACACACACACACACACACACGCGCGTGTACGGCACAGGCAGGGTGCCCGGATACGGAGTCACCCGGAAGGTTCCCCTCCCTCCTCCTCCTCCAAACGGTTGGCGGTTGGAACCAGTGGCACCACCCGCGCCCGCGTGCTCGTGCTCGTAAGCTCTCACGGGGTGGCACCGGGGCGGGTGGGGGCGGGTGGGGGCCACGACACACGGACTGATGGTAACCTACCAACCGCTCAGCTAGGCACCTAGGCAGGTCTTACATCCACACACCCATCAAACTGATCTCCCACTGAGAAAACCGAAAACAAGCTACAGCCTGTCGTTGTTGTAACACCATTTCTAAGTTACATGCCCCCACGGGCCAAGTAATCATGCCGCCCGCAAACCTCGACCTGTTGTATGTCGACCTGTCTGGCGGCTTGACTCCCTGGCTGGCTGGCTAGCTGTATTCCCCTGGTGAGCGGCGCCGTCAGCTCCCACCTTCGTCGAGCCGCCCTCCGCCAGAAGATCAATCTATCTGCCGCAATGTGCGGTGCTCCCTCACGTGCACAGGCACATACATACATACTTCACCAAGTACGGAAAGACCCCCGTGGGGGCGCAGGTCTACCAGCGTACGGCAATCTTCAAGCGAGGACAACAAACCCTACAGCAACCCACCAACGATCCGACCATTGCGACCAAACGGCATAGAAACCCAAAACCGACTAAAGCCAAACAATTCTTGAGCTCCACTAAACCACGAATGTACGACGAACACCAAAACGGTAAACCACCTGTGCGCCACAGCGTCCCCTCCCTAACCTCAACACAACAAAAGACGACCGCCTGAAAGGTACTGGACCTGCCCCCAATACCGTTCAGGCCCCCAAAACAAAGGTGAACACGTCCGCGGGGTGGGCGGGGGGGTCGCGAACTGCACCCCTACAAATCAAAATGTACATACAAGCGGGCACCACCGGGGGAGTAACTCCCCCTTAAGCCCCTTAGACCTTCGGCACACCACCGCTGACCAGTTCTCATTCTCAGATAGCAAGACATACATACATATTCGTGGACACACGTGCACCTTCACAATGCACCCACCGGGGGGGGGGGCCCGGCCACCAGCGGCCCAGGGTGATGCCGGGGGGTTGCACATCCTTGACTCAACACGGCATACCGGGAAGCGAAGTGAGCTACCCACCGGGATGATGCCAACTTGAAGCCCAACTTTTCAATAAATTAAACGATGCACAGACACACATACATACATACATACACGTGGACATGTGCTCCCGTACGTCAGTCTGAAGTACAGATGTACGAACATGTGTCAACCAACTCCATGATGCACCATTGAGCTCCTATCGCACTGGTGCACTTGTCATGGTGCACCTAGTCACCCTCAAACAGCGCAAAGATATTCATGCGCTCTCTTCCGTACTCATCTGAAACACACACACACACACACACACACACACACACAAACAAACCTATACACTCGCACACATACGGCATGTAAGCTCTGCAGCTCACAGATCTCCAGGTGCCCCAGGGGCTGCCGCTACCTGGCCAGCTGCCGGCCTCGGCTGCATTTTGCTTCTTCAGACGCCATGCAGCCGCACCAGCACTAAAACCCCCATAGTAATAATTTCGATTTGAAAAACGGAAGATAACGACGCACAGCGCCATGTACACGACCAGCGCACTGTCCATCAGGTGTACCGGCTGTTGGCGCCGTACAGGGATATAGGGTGGGGTGCGCGCGTTCTCTCTCCACCGGCACTCCCACCTTGCCGGCCATCGGAAGGCACTACATAAAAGGATATACGACAAGGACCTCCGCCGTACAGCACTCTAGTGACCAGTAGGTAGGCAGGCAGCACACGAATGTGGTCGGCCCCAGCGTCAACAACCGCTAGGTCCTAGGTGGCAGTTAGGTGGCAGTTAGGTGACAGTTAGGTAGCTGTTAAGCCGGCGCAGCAGGTCTCTTCCTCTCAAATAGGAGGCACAACTCCACACCTTACCTCACATCATCCATGCGCATCTCAACACTGATGACGGACGGCACATTGTAAACAACAGCCGGCGCCAATTAAACCGACAGGACTACCCTCGACACCCTCGACCGACATACAGACAAACTCAGCGAAGGGCACACGGGTGTCTCTCTTCCCCCCCCCCCCCGGGGGCTGAAATCAAATTGGTGATGTGGAGATGTTCGGGCTCCCCCCCATGTCGAGGAGCAGAGCAACGGAACCAAGTGACATCAAATTAAATTAAATGCCCCGAGGGGCCCCTGACCTCCGATCCCCTCCTTCCTCCCCACCCCTCACGTGATCGTCGCCACCAACCGGAGCACAGAAGGTGGTCACGGCGAACCCATCCTCGGACGCGTTGGGAAGCAACCGCAGCGGCGCTCTCCCCCGACACCGACACCGACACCGTCCGGAACGACCCCACCAGCTTCATGCTGCCGCTGCCAACCCCACGCCAGGAAATGGGGGATAAGGCGCACCGCTGACGTTTAAAGACGATGAAGCGGGGGGTGAAACACAGCAGCAGTGGCTGGAAACGGCCGTATCTCGACACGCTGTGACCGCGTAGAGGGGAGTGGATACTGGGGGTACTAAAAGACATCACAACAGGCCAGATAGATGATCAGGACAATGACGATTAGGACGATCAGGACGATTAGTGACAATGATGGAACTAAGGACGGTGTGGGCCCGGGGTCGGCGAGTGTCATATACGGCAAGGCGGGCATCTCCGACAATTCAAAAATCATGCCGACAAATCGTACAACTTCTCTCGCGGCCAACGTAGTTATACACACAGACACGGGGCCCTACAACACGGCCTCACGAAGAAGAGGATCCCGCCGGCCTCCGCTGCCCTACTGCTCTCCGAAACCAACCGACCTCACCACACAAAGAAATGCGACTTCTTTCCCAGCTGTGTAGCTGCGCAATCCAGGAAGGGGCCCGCGCCGCCCCCCTTCCTCTCACTCACCAGACTAACCCGACTAAACTTCTCTCCATCTCACCTTAAGCAGCAGCAAACCGCGGGGCCACTACCACCCGCCCACTACCACCCTCCCCCCATCAGCCCGCCTCACGGCACCCCTCGCGCACTGGTGAACATGAAACAGGTGCGAGCACTGTCCGCGTCCGTGTGTTGCAATCTGGGTGGACTTGTGGGAGTGGGAATGGCGGGTGGGGGGGTGTCACGCCCAGCCCGACACTTCCGGGTCCGGTCCAGGCCAGGTTCGGGGGGGCCCTCCCCTCTTTTCCCTTTCCCTCCCCCTCTCCTCAAGCAGCGGATGTGCGTGTGGGCAGCCCCGTGGTGCCGTCCTGAGCCGCTACTGCTGCTGCTGCTGCTGCTGGACCCCGCGTGGCGGAAGAGGTGCCAGTGCCCGGCCGCCCCTCAAACCGGTAAAAGATGGCGGTCAGGGAGTAGATCTACATACATACGTACAGACATACCCCGGCGGCAAAGATGTGCGGGGGAGGGGGTGTTGAAAATGCACGTGGTGGCGGTGGGAGGGGCGCGAGGAAGGAGGGCCTGGGGCCCTTAAAACCCGGTGGGGAGGAGCCGAGGCACGTGGGATCGCTGAAGTGAAGGGGAGCTGTCGTACATGTGTCATACACACAATGCGGTTCCCACCTCGGTGAGTGAAAGGCCCGTTCCGGTTCCCCGGGGGGTTACACCCCGCACCGCAACAACACCTCGGCCACAAGCCCGCTAGACCCCGAACTAGAGCCTGTGATCCCCAGCCCCAACAACCGACAAACCCAACCGCCTCCAAAAAAGCACCCTTAAACCACCCAGCTCCAGCCCCAGCCCCAGCCCCACCTCGCCAACCCCACACAAGCCATCCCCACCTCACCATATCCGCCAGCGGCACCGCATACGTCACAGGGCAGCCAGGGGGCCGATACTTCTGGGTCTTCTTGACCCAGTCGCGACATGGCTTGCCGGGGTACTTGCGAGCGAAGGCCAGCTCCTAGATATGCGCGAGGAGCGGAGGGACACGTCATAAGAGCGAAGAGCGAGGGAACATCACCACCACCACCAACAACAACAACGGTAGCATGAGCAGGTGATGTCCAGACAGACTGCCCTTTGAAACCCCAGTTGCAGCTGTAGCTGTAGGCCACGTACGGCTGCAGGTGCAGCAACAGCCTCTTTGCGCACTTTTCCATCCGCCATCCGTACCCCCACACGCACCCCCCCACACGCACTCACCGTCTCCCGGGGCAGTGTCCTCAGTCGCATCTTGGTTTCCTGGCTCACGTCATCCCACAACAGTGCCGGATTCAAAAAGAAGTGCCAGCCCCTGTTCCGTACATCCGTACGGAAGGAATGACGAATGGGGACAGACAAGTTATGAAAGAGGTAAACGCAGCGATGATGGGGCGGGGAAGGAGGGCGCGGCAATGAAGAGGGAGGGGGAGAGGGGGGGGGAGCCCGCATCACTAGTGCAGAGCAAGCGCCAAGCAGGTAGCTGCTGCTGCTGCTGTTGGGCGGCAGCGGCCCTCTGGACAACGCATCCACCCGGAAGCACCGCCGCCCTTCACCACTGCTCTACTCATACTCCCTCACAAACACAAACACATTCACAAATATACACATACATACAGACACAATATCCTACGGCGACAGACCGCAAACGGAGCAAGGCGACGCACTACAGCGAGGGGGTCAACCTGGGGCGGGAGAGCTGACCCACCTGTCCTCGTTGTGTCTTCCCAGGAATAGGACCTCCCGCTTGGCGGTCCGCGGCTGGTGGAGGTTCATCCGCAGCCAGGTGGTCAGCGCGGCCCACTCCTTGTCGCGATCAGACCGCTCCCCGGCGTCTGCGCTCGCGCCCAGGCCCCCGTCAGGAACTGCGGTGGCTGGATGCCCATGTGCGCGGCCGAGGGCCAGAGCACAGTTCTCCTCTTCGTCAGGGTCGCTGCTCAGGAGCTGACCAGTGGTAGCCAGCTTGGGATTCAGCTGTGCGGGCGACCCAAAGGCGGATAGGAATGGCGGCGAGAGACTTCAGTTGGGCTCAGCAGCGAGAAAGCGACCGATTTGAGACCACGTGCAAATAGCATGGGCATAGACAAAATATATGTCGACAGCCATTTCTACCCTCACACGCATAGGAATGTGGTAAAGCTCTGGCCAAAGCCACCACAGCCTTGTCGCGGACTCGCGGTCCCCTAACCGTGCAACCGTTTTGCCTGCCCATAGTCAGGCAATGCTCCCTGCTCTTTGACATTGCACCTCATAAAAGTGATTATTTTTTATTACCATGCAGGGAAACAGGTTGTGGTAACGCGTGCTGCAACGGCGAAGAGCGGCAAGAAAATATCTCGCGAGCGTAAGATACGCGAGATACGTGGACTCACCAAGCTTCTTTTGGGGCCGCGCCAAACGTAGCTGCGTGTAGCCAATGACACCATATGCTTCGAGTTGGAAGTCGCCGTCAGCGATTTGCAGAGATTCTTGGCAGGCGTGGAACACGCTACGGAATTGCACATTCGAGGGTGAGGACTTGCATTAACACGATAGCGCAAAGAACCATTTAAACAAGCTACCTGAACCAGCTGAAGATGATGAGCGCTCTTCAGGGTTTAGTGGCAGTTCGTCCTCCTCAAGGCGACTACTTCCTGGAGACGACTCGAGCGCGCTGCAGTCGCGCTTTCCCGCTCTAAGGCTGAACAGCATTTCTGCCACCTCAGCAGCTGTGGGATCCAGAGGAACGGCCGCCTGAAAAGCGCGCAAGGAAATTTTCACCTGTCTCCATTGCCGACGCGATTGTCAAGCAGGGGATGTCAATTGCCGACACACCTGCTCCGTGACGGCGCTTTCCATTGACCGGAAGGTCTCTTGTGTAATGCCACAGTTTAATGAAGAGCACGGGCCTGAAAGTCCTACTTAGTTTAACAACATAACCGTCGCTTGACTGCTTCGTATTAGTTGCCGGTTGGCTAGCTTCCTCTAAACTAAACGGATAAAAGCGTTACGTGAAGCAGAAGTAACTTGTTGCACTGATTCATCTAAACTTCCGCATGATTACCTACAGTTGTACGGGCCGTACAAGCAGAGTACCTTACCGTTGTAAAGTTTTAGTAGCCTATCGCCTTGTTGTCTAACCCAGTTGCTTAATTACCTGTTGGAAAGCAAGGCCTTCGGGAACCAAACACCCGATATGCTCATTGCCATGGAAATGCGTTCAGGGCCTAAGAAGTTTGCACACCTGTGAACCCGGCGTGTGATCCAACTCATTAACAAAGTGCTTTCAGGCCAGGCTTCTCAAAAGAAGCACGCAAATCTGCTGAAGCATTCCTCGTTGGAATTTGCACATTGAACAAAGGCTGGCGAGCGGGACCCTTGTTTGAAACCGGAATGAAACACGCGCAGGTCCACCTCCACAACGTCCAACACTTTGCGAGCCGAGCGACAATTTCAGCACCCAATCCACAACAGGTGTTTCCCTCCAGTTCCGTCCCCAGATAGGAGTCAACATCAACACGACCTCGTCCATGCAGCAGGACCTCATGCCCACACATGTCCACAGCTCCGAACCAAGGCCAAAATGAATAAACGGGTTTAAGGTGCTCATACCAAGATAGGGCCCAATAAACAGCAAGCCGCCGTGCATTGCTGCAAGCAGAGAGAACTCACACAGGCAGCAACAGCCGCGGCTCAGAGCTCCCCCAGGGGTCTCCAGGGGACAGTACGACATATCCGTGCTAGGCTCTCCGCGACACAATCACAACAATAGTCGCCGTGCTGCCCCTGCCGATACTGATATCACGCACTGCTGCTGTCGCAGCTGCAGTTGTTATTGCTGTCGAGGCTGCAACTTGCGAAAGGAAAATTATACACGTGCCGCATTATTGCCGCCGCCGCCACTGCGCCACTTCAATCGTAGCCCCTGTTAAACACAGACGGACCCCACTCCCTCAGCGGAATGAAAGAACCACCAGACATATCAAACAGAGCTGCTGCTGCCAACACGTACAGGGCTGCTGCTGCCTGGTGCACCTGGACTACCGGGCGGCGCGTGTCTGTGCGCGTGTGGCATGATGTCTTATTTGCTATCCGAGTTGGATGCAGCGCGGCAGCGGAGGGCGCGGTAGGGGTGATAATGGAACAGTCCGGCCCAGAACTCCTGAACTGTGAGGAGTTATAAATTTTCCGGTGCATAAATGTACGGTGTATTTTGTTATTATTGTTATTATGAGGCCTTGCTTTTGAAGGTAAAGGCTGCAGGGACCGCGTCTTCGCATCCTGCAGCTGCAGGGTCGACAATAAATAATCGAAAACCGCAAACCTAACGCTGAGAGCTGAAATGCTGCATCATACCGGAGCATGCGACTAATACGATCTGATAGAACAGATATATGCGCCACCTCCTGAGCGCGGAGGACAGCCCTCGTCGGTGCAAACGTTAGCACCACCAGCAACTGCTCTAATCAGCCTCTCGTGCCGGGAGGACGTACATCCCGACGTACATCCCGACACATCAAACCTCCGAGTTGAGACGCTCAACGACAGCGACTTTGACGGCAAACCAAATCGCAACCGAGCAAAGCACCATCACTTCATGATTAGAATGTATTTTTTTATATAACGTACAACAGAACGTAATAAGAAACATAAAGAAATGAAACTCCACGACACCCAGCCCCAACCAAGGATCAAGATAACTCTGTTCGTCCGTTTCTCTTCGTCTGGCACACCTCCCTCAGCCCACCTCACTCCAGCTGCCGCACGGAGGCAGTGGTGGTGCGGGACAGGTCCGGAGTAGGGCGCACTGCCGACGTGATGTGCATGGGTGGACCTATCCAGTCGCTGTTCGCCGCCTGAGCGGCAGCACTTGTCTCCCGTTCGTTTCTCCAACAACCCGCAACCCCACATACATACATACATACACACACCACCTAGCACATCCTAAACCAGCTTCCGACGTCCGCCATGGCACAGCCGCCGTCCCGGCTAGCCGCCATCCCACACGGCACTTCCCTCACCCAAAGAGGCTACGGCCTTGAACAGTCCAAATAATGAACTGCGTGTGGTACCGGGGGCGCCAAATCTTTCCCCCCGTGTTGCCTCCCCCACCTCGCACCAATTCGGCCCATCCTGCACTCCGCACACCCTTGTACACCGCTCCCTCTTATTCTACCGGACACCAGGCGCCATACATTTCTTCGACCTTCTCCGACGGCTCTCAGCTGCTATGGGTACGGCAACCCCTAGGGGCCAGACGACCTGCAGGCGGCACGGCACCGAGGGCCCCCTCCCGCACATCACATGTAAGCAGCAGCACACGTACGCACAAAGACACGCTGCTAGCCCCCTCCCGGCTCTCCTCAACTCCACTCCCCCCGACGCACACGGGCGGCAGCTTGCGGCCACCTGCAGAGCAGTAGCCCTCCCACGCCCCAGGGCCCCCGTGAGGAAGCGCTGAGTGGATAGCCCCGGATAGGTTTCGGGACCTCACCGCGTCGGTCACCGGCGAGGTGACCTCGAGGGCGTCACGGGGCCAGGCAGCGGGGCACCATGCGGAGCAGCTGCAGCTGCAGTGGGATATAGCAGCAGCAGCAGCAGCAGTAGCAAAGCAAAGATGGAGAAACCAGCACTGCACTGCCGGCAGTAACGAAATCCCACGAAGTCCCACGACCGCGGTATGGTAGCACATCAGTCACTGGATCACGTGACCCTGCATCGCATCAAACCCGGTCAGGTCAGGTCGGACCGGGTCGGGTCCGGTCAGGGGGAGGTGCAAGCGCCTCTCCATACGATGTAGCTTCCTTCGCTGCGCACCTGCCTTGTGCTCACCTCCTAGAGCCCACCATCCACATCCACATCCTGGTTAGAAGTCTCTGGTGTGCTCTCGCTCGCTCGAACCCTCAGCCTTCCCCTTCCCCTCCGGGACCAGATTGGCCCCCGGGAGGCCCACCTGGCGCAGCGCCATCACCCTCACGTACTACTGCTCGTCAGCTCGTCCACTGCCAGACAGACCACACAATCAGGCAGGAAAGCTATCCGGCCCTAAGACGGACGGAGCAGCGCCGCCCCCCCCCGCCCCTCATGTCATGTCATGTCACCGATGAATCCGATTATGAATCTGATCACGTCCACAGTACTCTCTCCGGTTCGGTTGGGTTCGGTTCTGTTACGTTCTGGGACAGACCCCCGTCCAGTCCAGTGTGCCAAGATGAGATGCGCCCTTTCCCCCCCTCCCCCTCCCCCCCCTTTTACGGGGGGACCAAAACCGCTTTTCTCTCCTCCGTCTCAACGTGCGGATACCAACCCGAACATCACATCACATTACATCACGTCGCAGGGTGGTACCGATCACTAATCATAGGTCATTATGACATCATAGGGTTATCAGCCGCACCGTATTTGAGCAATATACGGCACTATCACAGATATCGTGTCTTCCTGGCATGCGCCGTACACTGCCGAATCAGGTACCCAATACGTCATCGCTGCGCCGCGGGATAGAGGGCTTGCACGGCTCTCTTCCGCCCGAGGACACGGATCACAAACTTGTGTGTTTTATGCCCTCTCCCGACAAGCACGGGCCGCACCCTCCACCCATTTCCAGGTACCCGCTCATGACAGCCCACCAGCCCACCAAGGGGCCAGCAGTGCGGGCCACTCAACGGGGGCTGTCAACCCGGCTGCCGATCCGTCCGGCTGTAGGCGTCCCATGACTCTAGGGAGGAGTTGGCAGTGCCGCTGTCGTGGGTCCCCCGGCCGGAATGCAGCGGTCCGGACAGAACGTCCCCGGCGTGCGTCACCTCGCCTCGCAGGGCCCCGCCGCCGGGGGCCGCCCCGCCGCCGGGGCTCCCCGAGGGACCTGCGTGGACAGCGAAACACAGCCATTTGGTCTTCCCCGGGAGGTAATAATAATAATAATAATAATAATAATAATAGTAATAATAGTAATAATAGTAATAATAGTAATAATAGTAATAATAGTAATAATAGTAATAATAGTAATAATAGTAATAATAATAATAATAATAATAGTAATAATAGTAATAATAATAATAATAATTCGACTCAATGATGCTCGTGTGGGGAGTGTGAGGGGAGCGGCAGGACGGTGGTTTATAGAGGGGACGGCCGTCCCCTCCTAACCGTGTGTGTGTGTGTGTGTGTTTACTTGTGCAATTTGGCGGTGATGATAGTAGTGATGCTGGTGACGGTGATGACAACGGTGATGATGACGGTGATGATGATGGTGATGATGACGGTGATGGCGGTCACCAAGCGGATTGCTACACTGCAATATCACCCGGATGGTGGTCCCCGGGGTGGTACACCCCCGCCACCAGGCGACCAGGTTAACGACCTAGTCGCCCTGCAGCCGCACCAGGCCCTGTGGGGAGCTGCGACCCCCCAACCCCACCCCCCTCCCCCCCTGGGGCCTCTCACCTGACATGATCTGCAGGTGGCTCTGCAACACGCGGGTCACCTCCTTGCGAGCCTGAGCCAGCGGCACGGTGATAGTGCCCCCCGACAGACCGCCAGGTCCTGTGCCGCTGACCCCAAACTGCTCGTCGCGAATGGAGATCAGCTCCTTGTAAACCTGCGCGTGTGAGTGAATGTATGTATGTGCGTGCGGCCACCGCGGGGACGATGTGGGTTACACACACAGCCGGGGGTGGAGTGGGCGGGTGGGAGAGTCCAGACATCCATTGGAGGGCGCGAGGGCGGGCGGGAGGGGCAACCCCAAGAACGAGGTAAACGACGAAGAGGGAGAGTGAGGGGGAGGGAGAGTGGAGGGCAGCCCACTTGGTATCGAGGTGCTGTGTGCGGTGCGGTGCAGGGACCGCATGACGGGGGTGGAGGACGGCCCGTTCATGGGGGCGTCATGACGGGAGCGCTGCCGTACCTCTGTAAAGGTGGGTCGTTGCCGGGGGTCCTTGGCCATGCAGCGCACGGCCAGGGCGGCGTACTCGGGCGGACAGTGGACTGGAAACTGGGGCCTCTCGTCGTACTGTACGACGGCGGATAGGAGCTACGGAGAGTACCGCGGGCGCAACAACATGCAAAACAGGCGGGGGGAGTGGAGGGGGAGTGGAGGGGGAGTGGAGGGGGAGTGGAGGGGAGTGGAGGGGGAGTGGAGGGCGGGCGGCGGATGAGACGAAGTGGAAAACGAGTTTAGGGATCAATCAGGTGTCAGGTGAGTTGCGATTGGCGCGTTGCACATATTGGCGGTCCCAGCCCGTTCCCTCTCACCCGCCCCCTCCCCGGGCAGCAACTGCGTGCGGCTCCCCCCCCCCAAAAATCCCCACATACATAGTCCACGGCCCCCGGGCTTAGACAGACAACCCCGCATTGTGCGGGACTTGTGTCACACACACACACACACACACCTGGAACGCTGTGTAGTTCGCAAAGGGCTGCTGAGCGCAGTAGAGCTCCCACAATATGACGCCGAAGGAGTACACGTCACTGCTCAGGAGGACCTGGGGAGGGCCCAGAGGGGGAGGGGGCCCCGGGGGGGGGAAGGAGAACCACAGACGAGTGAAGCTGATACTCGGGATAGACGGGTACTCCAAGGGGGGAAGGGACGGGTAAGACAAACCACTGCCGAATGGAGCAGATACCAAAGACGGGTAGTCCAGGAGAAGATAAATGCTGCAGGGAAAGAGAAGGGGGGAAATCATCATACGACGACGACGACGATGACGCCGCCGCAAGGCACCGGGAACCAGCGGCCGACAACCTGCCGGCCGCCATCTGAGGCCCCAATTGAGAACGGCCCTCTGCACTCGCTGACACCCGGTCACTGCTGTCCAGGGAGGGGCAGCACCGCACCCGCGGCAGCTGGATACCGGTACACGCAGCAGCTGTCGCCACCCTCCCCCCCTTCCCCGCTCTCCCCGCACGCGCACCATGTTGTCCCGAATGGTCTCCGGCGCCATGTGGGTGACGGTGCCGATACGGGACACCAGCATACCGTCCTCGGCACCTCGACCGGCCAGCTGGCGGGCCAGACCGAAGTCAGCCAGTTTGGCGATGAAGCCCCGAGGGTCGGAGTCTTGGCGCTGGAGGCAGAGGAGGGGGAGGGGCCAGGGCAGGTGGGTGGGTGGGGGCAGTCGCCAGGCGGCGGTAGACGGGCGGGAAACGGAGTAACGGCCGAGAGCCCCTCCTCCTTCTCCTCCTCTATTGCGACGTGCAGGGAGGTGGACTGCAAGTCGGCTAAAATGACCATTTTCAATAGCATCCTTAAAGGCTATTACCCCGGGGGCAGTCCTCAGCTCCCCTCGGGAACACGAACCCCCCGAACCGCCTCTCCTCCCCACCCTCACCCACTTCGCCCACACCTCGCGGAAGTCCCCCCTCGCTCCACAGGCATTTACACCCCCAGACCCCGGACCCACCGGCCCCGCCGGAGCCCCTCCTTCCCCTTAACTCCCCTTCCCCCCCGCACTAGCTGCCCGAACCTCCCCAGTTGCCTGGCCCCATCTCCGTTTTAGTGTTCCCACCACCACCACCACCACCACATGCTAATGTCCCGTCCGCCCGGCCTCCCCCGTTATGGCCCCGCCATGTACACATGTACGTCCGTACGTCCGTTCATACCTGCAGCATCACATTGGCCGTCTTCAGGTCCCCGTGCACAATGGCCCGGCTGTGCAGGTAGGCCATGGCGGAGGCGATCTCAGCGGCCGTGTCCAGCAGCTGCCGCATAGCGATTACCTGGACGTTGGGAGCAGAAAGCAGTTCACATCCGTACAGAACACACTGAGGTCATGATACCCTAGGTGAGGGGGAATCATGTGGTGAGAAACACTTGGAACCCAAACATCATGTCGCGGGCCCCAGCACCGGCTGCCCTTACCAGTCAAGTGAGTGTGCGGGGGTGGTAGGGGTGGTAGGGGGGGAAGGGGGCTCAGAGGAAAGCTACCGTACTGCAGCAGTGGGTGCGGCAGGACCGGACCGGGCAGGCGGAGCTCAGGGCGCAGCGAACACAGCGAGGGAACCTTCGGCGCTCAGGGCCCAGATGTCCACCCACCGCCACTGCCACTGCCACCCACCTGCGTCCCCGCGGTGACGTCGTTGGAGTGGAAGGCCCCCGAGCTGATGGCCTCACGCAGGTTGCCCCGGGCGCATAGCTCCTGAACAATCAGCACCTGCCACCTCTCCCGCCCGGGGGCCGCGAGAGAGACTCCGCCCCACCCGCCGGCGCCGGACATGGCGCCAGCGGTGGCGGCGTCCCTCCTCCTCCGGGGCCCTATGGCGGCGCGGGAGGTGCGCTGGTCTGTGAAGGACTGGGAGAGCGGCTCCAGGGGGAGCGGCGGCCGGAGCTTCCGATCGTGGCCGTAAAAAGGGGAGGGGAAATTAGGGGGGTGGGCCAGATTACTGCCGCCGCCGCCGCCGCTGCCGACACCACCGACGGTGCGCACCGTGTCGGTTGCGGTACCGGAGCCCGTGGAGGCGGCCAGAGTGGCGGCGGCAGGTGGCTTGTTGGCCCCCGCCACGTGGTGATGGTTGTGGTGGTTGGCAACTGAGGCGTCGGTCGGGGGTTGGTGGGCCATGTGGGCGGTGCGCTGCGGGGAAGGGCGGGGAATGCACGGACGGCAGCCGGGCCCGGATTTGCAGATGTGGCCAAAAGGTGAGGTTGAACACATGGACGTGTGCCTGTGCATGTATTGTGTGCCGGCCATGTGTTTAGCAACTGGTGCGGATGTGAGAATTCTGCCGGGATGCCCTAAGAGGTGCGAGGGGGCGTATCGGACACGGATGCATGTCTCCCCCTTGCAGGCCCCTGCATGCAAGAGGGCAAGAGGGCTGACAGGAGCAGCCGAGTTGCGAGCAGCGACTCAGTCGGCGCACAGAAGGCTACAGTCTGGTGTGGATGTGCGTTGTCCTCTGCTAACCAGTACACGGGGGACAACCTCCCTGGACGGGACAGACAACCCCAGGGCCCCACCACCCACACCCCTACTCCGCCTCCCCCCACCTTACCCGAAGCCCGGACGGCCCATTAACGCCCAAGCTGTCGGTCCGGTGCCAACCCCCGATGCCGCTGACGACCTGGCCCGCAGCTGTGCCACCTCCTCCCCCACCTCCGCCTCCCGGGATGGAACCGCCGCCCGTCGCTCCGGTGTTAATGGACCCCAGCAGCGCCGTGAAGCCCGAGTTAAGCATCACATTGGCACTGGTGCTGGCACTGGTATGGGTGTGATTGCTCCAAGACAACTTGTCATAGTGTACGTCAGCCGGAGCCAGCTGGCCGCCGTAGCTGGAGTACGGGTTGGATGTCAGCAGGGAGCGGTTGCCGGTGTGGGTGCCGGTGGCGCTCAGCACGCTGGCGCCGGAGCCGTTGGATGTGCACCGGGGGACGAGGGGGCGATGGGTGCCGCCGCCGCCGCCGCCACTGGCTACGGCGCCGGTAGCGGCGGCTACGGCGGCTTCGGTGTTACCGGAGGTGCCGCCGGCGGTGCCCTGCTCTACTGATGTACCCGCAGACGTGGTGCGGTGCAGCGAGTTGCGGGGGGTGCTGCCGGTGCTGCTCCGGGCGGCCAGGAGGGGGGACGACTGGCGCAGGGTGTCTGGGCCCAGCCCTGATGTGAGCTCGTCAATGGTGGGGAGCCAGGCGGAGGCGGCGGGAGCGGGTCCGCTGCCCAGGGTGCTGGAGCTGTGCAGGTTGGCCTGCTGTACCGCCGCCACCGCAGCTGGCAGGAGCGGCGGGAGCGATAGGCTGGCCTCCATGACCTGGTGGGCCGAGGAGAGGGATGTGGCGGTGTCCGTCTGAGGAGTGAGGTCGTCCTCGGGCTTCGGGGCTGCGGCAGCATTGGGTTGAACGGTGAAGCCTGTGGCGGCGTTGAAGCCCGGTCCGACACCCACACCCTCGCCTGCACCACCGCCCTCGCCACCGGCTCCCCCAGGACCCGCCGGGCCCCACCGGGGGACGCCGGGCACTGAAAACACGGCACCACCAGCGCTGGACTGGGAGCCACGCAGGTAATGCAGCCTGTACGGCGGCTTGCCGGAGATGCTGCCGAAATCTGCGGGCGCCAAGCTGTTGCGGTAGGTGGAGAAGAGGGCCGTGGACAGACCAAAATTTTCTATATGGGGCAGCATCTGGCCGCTGTCGTCCGCCACCATGTAGTCGTACACGGGTGCGGGCAGGTCGCCGGAGCGGGAGTCCAGGCCGCCGTGGGTGGTGGAGGAGGGGACGCTGCCGCCACTGGCAACCTCGCCCGCTAGGCCCGACACCTTGGTCCCTGCGGCGGCAGTAGCAGTGGCGGCTGCTGCAGCCCGGTGTTCCAATAGACCCGGGACGTCCTCTCCGTTTGCAAAGGGCAGGGGCCCCCGTGCGGATTCAGGGCGCATGTTGGGATGAAGGGCGCTGGACACCGCGCCGCTGCGGCCATCCTGCATCGTTTGCTGTTGCCGCTGCCGCTGCCGCTGCAGGAAGCTTGCGGTGCGTTGCGCTGCCGCCTGGGCCCCCAGCAAGTCCAAAATCAACTCCGCGCTGTCCGGATCCTGCCCCTCAGCACCCTGGGCGTCCTCCGCGCCGCCGGGCCCCGGCTCCCCCACGTCCCCTACTCCCCCGTCCATGTCCAAGCCACTGGTCTGCGCCCCAGTCGCCTGCCGCCGCTCACCACCGTGGTCTCCCCAACACGGGGGCAACACGGCCTCAGCCCCGATACCGCCTGCCACCGCGGAACTCCCCCCGAGGTCCCGCGGCGCAGTGGCGCTGTCCAACTCCTTCACCTGGCTGCTACTGCCGCCGTCGCAGGGTAGCTGTACGGCAGCACGCTCCCCCGGACCCTCGGCCTCTGCTTCCCCACGGGCGAGACCGCTGGCTGAGACGATGGCCGCACACGTGGACATGCCGCAGGAGCTGTGACTGCCAACCTGCGGTAAACTCCCATCCGGCTGAAGCGTCAGAGTCGTCGAAGGGGGCAGCGCCGGCGGGTGCACCGATGCCTGGCCGCTCACGTCGCCCCCACTGGGGGAGGTGCACCCGGCTTCTGACGACCGTAACATGGCCCGGTCTTCACCCGCTGCAGACCCCCTCACTGCCGACCCCGATGCGGACTGTCTGAGCCCGGATGCGGCCACCGCATCAGCCGGTGTGGAAACGGCGAGGGAGGAGTTCTCCCGGCGGGTGGCGGCGGCCCCACTGCCCGGCCTGGTGTCCAAAGCGCCGGTGACTCCGGTGCTGTCGCCCGCTGGGGTCGGTCGGGTGCAAGGAACGGCAGGGTGCAGTGGGGACATGAGGCTTGTTGGTGAAGTGGGGCGCCGCAGCTGTGTGTGTATGTGTGTATGTCAGGTGTAAGGAGGGTGTTATCTCATCCACAATACAACTGTACAAAAGTCCCTGGCGCTGTCCTCGCATAGGTGCCCCCGAAGCAACACACGATTGCAAAATCAGTCCCTGATCAGCCAACGAAGTCCTCCGTTGCAATGCCACTCGTCCCACGCTACGTGTCGTACACACTGCCTTTGCTAGATGGCCCCTATTGCATCCCCAAACTTACCTTACACGGGGTGCAGGCGGAGAGGAGTGCCAGCATTTGAAGATTCAACGGGCAAGGTGAGCAAAGACCCGATCCGGGAGGGCAATGCCCACCCTGGACTCTAGTGCACATACATACATACGTATATATGTACATACATACATACACCGAGCTCACCGACTCCCAACCCCAAGGGCATAATCCACAAGCGGGGTCATTCTTCAATCCCCTGCCACCCGATTGGCGCCCTGTCAAGCCCCACCTGGTGACACCGCCTCCGCGAGGTCCCCCGGCCCTCCAGCCGACGGCCCCTCCTCACCCTCCGCCGCCACCCCTCTGATGCCGCCCTCCAATGGGCCCCCGCTGCCTCTCAGTGCTGCTGCTGCTGCTGCTACTGCCTCCGCGCGGCTATGCGGACCGACTACCCAGGGAGAGGCTGCCGTACAGCCCGGGGCCAGCCTGGGAAAGTCCAAGGGTGCGGGTTCCGTGACGCGACCCGAATGGGACCCTGCTGCTGCTGCTGCGGCGGCTTCGGTCGGAACTCCCCGCTGGCCGCAGCCCGTTTCCACTGCGGTAGCTCCGCCGGCCATCAAGGCGCAGCGGTCGCCGTCCGGGCGGTTGGACCCCGCTGTCGCTGACTCTGCACCGAGGGGTGAGAGCGATGATGCCGACAGGGGGGAGCGTGGGACGCTGCTGCCGTGCTGCGGGCGGTTCGTGACACCACCTAGCCCACCTGCTGCTGCTGCAGGTGGTCCGGGTGTCCCACCGCCTGATGCGGCGGAGTGCAGTTGGGCTCCGGCTGCAGTGGCGGCCACCGCACCCGCGGCGCCTACTGCCGCAGCTGTTGCAGCTACAGCTCCATCTGCAGCGGCCCCAGGCCTCTGTAAGCCGCCAGCTCCACTGCCGCCCACACTGCCGTTGGCGAATCGCAGCATTGCCGCCGGTGTAAAGTTGGTTGTTTCCCACAGGGGTGACTGCGACCCGCGGGTCACTACAAAGGCCGGCATGGAGGGCGCACTGAGCAGCTGCGTCACGATGCGGTACGTCTCCACGATGTTGGGGTGCTGGGCGCTGGCCGATATAAGGCCCTCCAACATGTGTTTGTGGGGCATCACCACCGGCGGCATACCCGGCAAGGACAGCACGGGTAGACTGTTGCCCGCGGCCACCGACGTCTGCGACTGGCCCTCGAGGCCGCCAGGCAATGTCAACGGCATCGCATGCAGGTTG